CTGAATTGTACTTTTGTACAGAAGGATTCAGTTGTGGGATTTGTTGGGTTTGTACAATTATTCATATTTTAGGTTACAAAATAGATTCTTTAGTTTAAGGAGATAAATAGAGACTTCAACTAACTTATCCATTAAAGAAGATCAATGAAGAAAGTGACCCGGTGAGAGAGTAACAATAGGTTCTTAATGGGATTCATTGAATTAATTGGGCATTCTTTAAGGAAAAAATAATTTGTTTTCTGTGGAGCATGCTGCATACCAACTACATTAAATTTTTGGTGATTATGCTGGTATATGTGTAGGTTTATGAGCTGGGTTGGAATTGGGATGACTTAAATCAACTAGCACAAGGATCTCTGGCTGGGCACCTTCTAGAGTGTGGCTGCCAACTCACTGGTGGATATTTCATGCATCCAGGTCTGCTTATGTTGCATATCTCTTTCCTAGCATATAAGATACAACTTTGGAATTTGGGCGAATAAATAGATTCTCTTAAATTTCATCTTACACATTGTAGGAGACAAGTATCGAGATATACCCTTTGAGAAGCTACTGGATTTATCACTTCCTTATGCTGAAGTTTGTTTTGATGGACAAGTGTGTGTAGCAAAGGCGGAAGGTAGTGGTGGAGTACTAAATTTCGGTACATGTGCTGAACAACTACTTTATGAGGTTGGAGATCCTGGTGCTTATGTGACCCCTGATTTAGTAAGTTTAGTGTCATGTTGGTCATGCTATTTGACAAAAAGAAGGTACTGTTATGATCAGAAGATGGCATATGGGGAAAATTTTCATCTTGTTCTTGAACAGGTTGTTGATTTTCAGAATGTTACTTTCCTTCCAATTTCAAGCTGTAGTGTTCTCTGCATTGGGGCAAAACCCTCCATTAAACCAGTTCCTAATGAACTTCTGCAGTTGGTTCCAAAGGTGTGATTTTTAATCCTTGTCTTCAGAAGAGCATGTAGGACTTGAATTAAATAAATTAGGAACTTACTTCCACGATCTTATCTTAGTTTTTCTTTTTCCTGTCATAAAAAGTGGTCCTATTGCACTGTCTTGTGTGGTGATAGTTTATTGTTTAGTCTTGGCTGTCATCCTGCTGTAGTTGTAAGATCCAAGCTACTTCTCAATCAACTGCATACTTTGTTTGAAATGTTATGCATATAATGGTCAACTTGGACATCTTCTGGACAAAAGAAAAAACTTTGACTTCTGATAACTTTTGAGGGTTATTTTACGGTGATGCTTTTCAATGGCATTAACATAGTGTATACCATACAATCTTACATTTCATTTTACTTTCTTTTTCATTTTAATTTCTTTTTTAAGTAAAAATATTTTGTATTGCATGCCCTCCTGCTGCATGAAAATTAGCTGCTCAATTTCAGAAACAATATGAAATAATTTAGGCTTTTTTTTTTCTGAAATAATATTTTAGAGGCAGCTTTGCCTTCAGTCACCTTCTTCTTCATTATGTTTGAGAGCTTGTTTGTGGCTTTAATTATGTAAGATATTAGCCGATATTTCAATGCACGATTTGTTTCCTGAAGTTTGTACAAAGGAGGCATTCGGTTTTTCCCATTTGTTTTGATGCATCATATACCTTTTTCAGGAGTGCGGATGGAAGGGATGGGGAGAGATATCTTATGGTGGCTATGAATGTGTCAAACGTGCTAAAGCTGCTGAATTTTTGGTAACTTTTACAACCTTTTCATGAAGCAAACATTCAGACCAGTGAGACGTAATGATTCTTTTTGTTCCGTGTACTTTAATGAATTACTCCCTGCGGCCCTTTTTATAAACTCCAATTAATTAATTTATGCAAATTAAGAAAGTTAGTTAAAATTAGTTAACTCTCAATAAAAATAACTAGTTAGAGGAGCTAAGTTGACTAGTTAGGAAGTTTTATAGTTAGTTAAGGTACTAGGTGAAAGAAATTAATGCTTTGGACAAAACATGCAACTGCTTGGTCCTTGCTGCTCTCCATCAATTAACATTTTGTTCATGTACTTGATTAGGTTAGATCATGGATGGGAGAATCGTTTCCCAATCTTAACTCCCAAATTCTTGCTTATATAATTGGAGTTGATAGCCTAAAGGCTACCAGCATTGATGCAAATTCTTCATCCTGGGAGACTAGTGAAGATATAAGGTTACGGATGGATGGACTGTTTGCACAGAAGGAACATGCTGTCCAATTTACTAGAGAATTTACGGCATTGTATACAAATGGGCCTGCTGGTGGCGGTGGTATCAGGTCAATGCTCTTCGACATCCTCCATTTAAGTCTAGTATGCAAAATTTTTTTAATTAAAGTTCTTCCTGTGGAGTATTTATATATGTAAATATTGCGTCAGGGTTCAATTGACAGTCTTTATCTTCTTATTTGGCATTTGACGAGTTCACAGGAAAAAAAAAAGCTGAAATTTTAATTTTGCATCGAATTAGCATTTCTGAATTTGTTGGAAGCACCAATAATTACGTAGTTATTTCTATGTTGTCAATATAACCTTCCACCATGTAATTTTGATCTCTTCTGGCGTCTTTGCGGTCATCTGCTAATTTGGTCTATTGCTGGTTATAGAGGGATTGAATGGCGCTTTTATACTGACGCATTGCGTCCTTTTGTTTTGTTTTGTTTTGTTTCTTCGTCTTTTACTTTCTTAGAATGATATATTCTCTATTCTTAAATCTAAATCTTTCTGAAATGAAAATTTCTTTTATAAATATTTATGAAAGAAAAAAATGTTCTGAAATCAAGGAAGAACTAACCGCATATGTACTTTTTCTGTCATTTAGTTTTGTTGCCGGATTGGTCATTGATAGATTGTTGTGAAGAAGAAGTATCAAGTATATAACCTGCAATTTGCAATTTCATTAGTTTCACTTGGCTTTTGAAAACTGTTCCTGTTTTGATTGCTATCATATAAATGGATCATTGCCCGGTTAGCTGAACTTCTAAATGAGGTGGGTCCCAAAAATTGAAACTGGGTTTGTTTGAATACAAAGAGCTACTTTATTCCGTAAACTTAATGATAGATATTTTTCCTTCTTGTTATGATCTTCGATGCCCAATAACCTTTATAATAACTGTGATAAGTTTTTCCTGTTTCTTGAATGCAGTACTGGAGTGAAGAAAGAAATTCTTCTAGAAAAGAGATTGGTATTCTTCTCTCTCTTGACCACTGTTATACCCGTACACGCATATGCCTGCACGTAAACCTCACTTATGTGCACTTTATAATCAAAACTAAATAAATTTTCTGTTTTCATCCTTTAATCTTGTTAGATTATATTGTTTATTTATTTATTTTGCAAATAAAATTAGTGAAAAGTTAGAAGGCCGTGATTTCTTGACTAATCAAGACACTAATCCCTACAGGTTAGGCGAGAGGATGTTTTCTGGCGAATTGATGTGAAGAGCTGCAGGACAAGCCCTTCAGATAAAGTGGTCGTTCCTGAATGCAATCTGACTCATACATTGATATGGCCAATACATGTACAAGCTGAAACTGACAATTCTTTCTCAGAATTAGCTTCACCTGCCCCTTCTGGCCAGAAGATTCCTCTGTACCGCTTAGCCCACAGCCGAGCTGGTGATAAAGGAAATGATTTAAACTTTTCTCTTATCCCACATTTCCCCCCTGATGTTGAGAGGTTGAAGCAGATTATCACGCCCCAGTGGGTAAAAGCAGTGGTCTCTCCTCTTTTGAAGTTGTCTGCTTTGGACTTAGATGCAGGAAGTGAAAGATACAGATGGATGAATGATAATGTTAAGGTAGAGATATATGAAGTCAAGGGAATCCAGTCGTTGAATGTTGTTGTCAGAAACATCCTAGATGGTGGCGTCAACTGCTCTCGAAGAATTGATCGCCATGGAAAGACCATTTCAGATCTCTTTCTCTGCCAACAAGTAGTATTGCCTCCATGATCGTGTCTGCCATTGGATGACCTTGGCCTCATGAGTTTTACCCATTACGACAGTTTCCTTATTTTTCTGTATTTGTCCAGACTAAATCCCCTAGAGGGCATTAGTTTTCATTTGTTGTTGAGAGCAGTAATAAGGTTTGATCATCACAAAATATGTTCAAGCCTGGAACTTGCTTTGCTTGAAGCAGGCTAGTATAGTCTTTTTAACGTTTTTTTTTTTTTTCCCTTGGGTAATAGTCTTTTTGATGTTGAAAACTTGAAATTGAACCAATGGGTGGAAATGGAAGGAGCACATAAGCAGGAGGATACACCTGATATCAGTTTACATATTATTTGACATTAAATATGAGTGGTTTAAATTTTATTATTTTATAATTCTTAATTACTACTTTTAAATTCACAGTTAAAAATTATTATCGAATATATGTGAGAGTAAGTGCAAATATAAGACGTTTTAATTAAATTAGTAATATAGCGTAAAATATATCAGAACGTAATACTTATGTTAAGGATACAAAATAAGAATATTAAAAATACAAAATAAATTAAAATTTTGTAAACTTCAATATACTGTTTTCGAGAGGAACCCGGTGCACTCGCGCCATTTTAAAAGGACAATTATTTGGGCACAACTATCATTTCAACCTTAAACTACACTCTAAATTTAAGTATCCCTGTCGGCGTCTCAGACTCATTGATTTAATTACTTATGTGACAAGGGTTTAATTTAATTAGTTATGTTTAAATGCATCATTCTTTAATTGTGGAGCCTTGAAAAAGTCAAAAGGAAGCAACCCTTCATTCACTCCAATCAATTGGATTGCATCCACAAATCACGCCTTAAGTTTTCCATCTTTGTCTCAAAATATTTCCTAACACATAATCTAACCCAATCAACCAATGGCTCTGTTTTATCGTTCCATTTTGTAGTATGAGTCCTGTCTCTTTCAGCATCCCTTCAATCCTCAGTTATATCGTTTGGGTCAGTTAAGGAACAGCAGAAACACACATACAATATACAGTACATATATTTGTACGCACGTTGTAATTTGTTTGTTTAAGGAAGAGAAATGGCATTTACAGGAACATTGGATAAATGCAATGCATGTGATAAGACTGTGTATGTGGTGGATCTGTTGTCTCTTGAGGGAGTTCCTTACCATAAATCTTGCTTTAGATGCAGTCACTGCAAGGGGTTCCTTTCGGTATCCTCCTTTGTTTTTATGTCTGTACTATTTCTTTTGCCGATTTTATCCTCAGTTTCATGTCTTTTTCTTCAAAAATTGATGAAATTTAGTTTACATGTGAACTATGACACATCTTTTAGTCTTAATAATTAGAAGAAGTGGTGATAAGAATTTGATCTTTTTAGAGGTCCTATTGAGCTGGAATCAATTTGAGTCAAGTTCAGTAAATTCATAAAGAGGATGAAATTCTCAGAATCTTGATATTTGAAAGTTATATTTAAACTGCAATGAATGTGAATCAAACAAAGTTAATATGATGGGCAGATGAGTAGCTACTCCTCAATGGATGGAGTTCTGTATTGCAAGCCTCATTTTGAGCAGCTTTTCAAGGAATCTGGAAATTTCAGCAAGAACTTTCACACAGGTAATGACAACATGATCAATCTTTCATCTCATTTCATTTCTTTCAGTGTTAAGCAGTGCAGATTATTGCTTCCATTCATAAGTTTCCATTTAACTGACAAACTTTTTCACAAACATTGCAGCAAAGTCTTCTGAAAAATCACATGAGACGGTATGCTCGATATCCTCCCTTTTTTGTATGCTTTTTCTAACAAACTCTAAGGATATTCTTGGTAGAAACAATATAAGAGCCATCTGATATTATTATTGAAGAATGAGGGTTCAGAGTTTAAGTTTATTTGCTGTCATGATAGTTAAAAATTGATTTAGTTGACTGAAAGAAGCTTATGGGCATATGGCTGAAGGTATTTGTATTTGTTTTGAGCCATCCGTATATAATGTAAAAACTCTTTAAGAAGTCGCAAGCCGTGAGTAGCATGATTTATTCATCAGACTCTGTGCAACACATTGACCCACTGTAATCGTTCATTTGCAATACTCTTGCTGAAATAACCTTTTTTCTCCTCTTCCTGGGATGTGAACAGAGCAAGAACTCAAATAAACTCTCTTCATTGTTCAGTGGAACCCAGGACAAATGTGCAGTTTGCACTAAAACTGTCTATCCTCTGGAAAAGGTTTGTAATTTCAAATGCTTCCCACTCAGAATTGTGATGTAAACAGGAAGAAAAAAGTTGCAGGCCTTGTTAAATATAAACTTGTGTTTGTTGTTGCAAAAGGTGACACTGGAAGGAGAATGCTACCACAAGACTTGCTTTAGGTGTGCTCATGCAGGGTGTCCTCTCACACACTCCTCCTATGCTGCACTTGACGGTGTCCTGTATTGCAGGCACCACTTTGCTCAACTTTTCATGGAGAAAGGAGATTACAACCATGTCAAGCAAGTCACTGCTCACAAAAAGAACACTGCTTCTCATGATCAGTCTGACCACCTTGCAGATGGCTCTCACTCAGATAAACATCCATCTCAGGACCAAAATGACGATGACACTAAACATGAACAACAAGATGCACAATCTTGAATATAAGTTGAAAATGAAACAAACAATGAATCATATATTTATTTCTTTGAAAATTCTTACGTATACTCTCTCTAGAGTCAATCTAGCTTCTTTTCCCTTCACTT